ATTTGGTGTTCGACCATATTGCAATACACGTTGAGGAATACAAACTTTTAATGTTGGCAAGGTAGGGACTAATGCATCTTTCGCTCGTTATCTTTGTATATGAGGGAAATCCTAACAGTTTGGGCAATCCACCCATCAGGATTCCACGTGCTACTTCTTCAACCGCTGCAGTCACTATTTTTGGCCTTCAAGTATATGTCATCAGTATATGGCATACCTTTTTGATCGAGTTGTAGCAGCCCAGATTCAATTTCAGTTCTCCGTGCTCTCTCAGATTTGGTTGGGCGTCATAAAAGATCCTATTTTCTTCATGTACGACGTTGTACCACGAATTTGGGCAGTGAATGTCGGCCAACTCTACTTCCCAATTGCCAGCTAACAAAAGCGTTCCGTAGTTTGACAGTGTCTTTCGTCAACGTATTGTCCGGGAAAACATCGAGCAAGACATTACTAAGGAGCATCAAGAAGAAATTTTGCTCGACATGATGGTGTTTTGAATGAATCAGGTCATCGTGTGTGTGAACCGTATTTATGAACGTTGCAAGTCCCTGATCCAAGCATTAAACAAGACGTCATACCCCCGCCACTTGTATCCTCGGTTGTATCTGGATATCGAGGAGAGAACGTATAGATCGGCCTCCCACTGCTCGTCCACTTGAAAAAACCACTACCCTACTTCATTTAAAGGACCGTCTAGAGGGTTTGCGCAGAGTAAATGCATCTGAAGTAGGAGCGAGGTATATGAGTCACATATAAACAAAGATGGCACCTTTAACTGTTGCGCAGATCAACGAGTACAAACTGAGACGTTCTATGCTTTAATTAGGTATTTTTTAGGTGATTGGAAGATATTGACGGAGTCACCAGCGTTAAGCGAATTGGATTGTGGGAAAATCAATGCTAATCAACACAAATGCTGCAAAGGCGCAGTTCAACGACTACCTTCCTTTAACTGCTTTGCAGTTATGTTAGTCTGTATTTAACAGAGTTTGCTCTTACCTCCCACAAACCTACACATACTTGTTAAAAGTGTTTATCATCCAACTATTAATGTAATTTGTTTTGTAATGAATATGCATTTATGATAACATTAGAAACATAACATCTCATGAGAAACTAAACATTTTTTATATCAGTCATAATTATAAATTGATTGGCGGTACTGCGGTTCCCGTAAACAGTGTATAAGTATACTATTTTGACAGTTCACTGATAGTTTCATATTTCCTGAATAAACGTCTCAGTATATATGCATATATCATTTGACCATATTGATCAATGATTAACCTATATGCTTCAACATCCTCGACACTGAACCGTAACAAGGTACATGAATGTGTGACACTTAACTAATTAGTGAATATGTATCGTTTGATTGTCAGATCAATGTGATATCACACAATTCCTAGACATACAACTTGAAATCAATAGACAGACAATCCGTGCACAAGATATTACTGGCCACGTTGTGTGTGTTTATTAGTGTTGCAACACTTATGACTCTTTTGCTGCCAGGGAGAAGATAACGTGTACGATTGTGTAATTGCACAATGCACAATCTAGATGCAATATCGCACATACTGAAAAAAAAGAATAAAGTTACGATACTAAAATGCGACGTTCCCAATTGGTTTCATAATCGTAACCCCACGTTCAAGGCCAACAGCTTGTCATTTGATCTACGATTTCAATGTTTGGCTCCATCCATCTAAACGAATGCGCATAATTTCAGATGGGGAGCTGTATATGCATAGGGTGAACATATACATTGAATAAGGAAGGCTGGGTACGGTATTGCATAGGTTAGAACTCAGTCGCAACACGTCCGGTAATTAATTTATATCATATGTGTTTTTACACATTCATAATGTTATAATACATAATTATTATCTTGACAACACCATATAATCTGCTTCGTTATGCCAAAAACAAACAAAAGACAATTGCTTCTGGTCAGCGCGAGCGTCGGTTATCACTTTCTCATCAGGTGTCTTACAAAATACACTATAAATTAACGGCCAAATAAATAAAAAAATGGGACCGCACCATCTAAACCACACACAATTAGTTTCAGCCTTATAATGTAACTATTTGCGGGAATAATCTTACGCCATGTACAGTTACGTCATGACACAGTTAAAATATTTGCAAACAAATTATTATTAACAACCAAATAACAATGTAATGATGGATTCAATCAGTAGTACCCATGAAGACGTCACACACTCTATAGGACAACTGTATATTATTATATTACATAGCGAAAATTCCAAATTATGAGTTTTCAGTTTACGAGATTCAATTTACAAGGTTTACAAGCAATGTGGAGAATTCCATTCTGAGGCTAGCATATTAACATTTGCCCCAGAGTAAGTGTTTAATAAACGCCATCTATGGCCACGTTATTTCGAGGTCAAAGTTCAAAGATGGTGCGGATTACTGTAATATAATCTTCGTTAATCATTAACCTGCAAACCAGGTCTGTGTCAACTCACACATGCTGTACGAGTCTCGGCAAGCACTGTTGATTGCAATATGGAACGCTGGGCTGGTCGTGTAGCGCTGGTGACTGGTGCGTCGTCAGGTGTCGGGGCAGAAACGGCTAAAGTCCTCGCTGAGAACGGTATGTGTGTGATTGGTTGCGGTAGGAATGTTACATCCATTCAGGTAAGAGTTACTGTACAATATTACCACACATCGATAAACTCCATATTAAATAGGGCAAGGTCAAAATGAGTGTGTATGTGTGGCTGTGCTTCTGAAAACGAGGTCTTATTTACAAATAACATAAATTCCAATGCAAATTTCCCACAATACAAAAATGTCTATGAACATGATATAATTTGGTATTAAAATGCGGTGAGTGTGTAACCTTTATACAGTATCTAAGCTCACTAAACTAGCATGACCTCAACGTTCATATCATAAACCGTCGTTGACACGGAATCAATCACACTAAACATCCTAAATTATGTGTGTCGCACGCGCTGCCAATAAAGAAAATCATATTCATTAAAGTTGTTGTGCATACATGAGTTGTTGATTTTAATGTACAGCACTCCACAAGTCAATAAAAATACGCAAGTAGAGTGGTATGAATAAAACGCATTTCCCCTGAAATCAATACATTTTGATAAAAAACACATTTTTGGTTGTAGCTGTTTCCATCTTTTCAAACGAGGTTTATGTGTGTGTTACTGTTCTGCACTGACGAATAATCGAGTACTTATCTACGTTAATGATTCTAGTGTTTTAAAATTTGACACATTTCTCATACTTCTCATAATTCACTCTGAGTGTATTATTAGGCACAAACCGTTCAGTGGTTTGTTTGTTTATTTTCTCGAATTTTAAAATTACTCTATCAAACGGGGAGTGTTTTATTTTATAAGTATATGTAAATTATGCAGTAAGGATTTCCCTTGTCGTACATATGCAATGAATAAAGGGTGCTGCAAATGAAAAACGACGATGGCACTATCAATTACATTTTTTGCGCATTTTGTAAAGGTGAAACAATACCACCACACCATCAAGCTTATTTAGAATAGATTCAGGTTCCCATCTTTCCTAAGTAAAACTATAAGACATTTGATCCAAGTGGTTGTTTCTTTAACGAACATTTCATCTGTCTACATGCTACTGATAGTATAATACAATCGTAAATATTATAATGAAAGAAAGTATTTTGTTTGTGTTTATAATGTGCCTAGTCAATAACTACAACTACTGTTTTTTAATATCAACAGTTTATAATTAAAGCAGTACATTATAACGAAAGACATGAAAGTACTTCCAGGATTTATTGTGTCGTTTTTATTTATCATTATGTAAAACAACAAAAAAATTATCCACTCACAATATCAAATTTTAAATTTGACCATATTGGATCTTTTAAATTTAATACTTGGTAAATAATGATATCTACTTTTTCCACTCTTCTCAGGAATTAGCTGACAAATTGAAATCAAGTTCATCCAAAGGTGTTCTCCATCCTGTGAAATGTGACCTTCGGAGCGAGAAACAAATACTGGACATGTTTGAGGAAATAAAAAGCAAACATGGCGGTGTCGACGTTTGTGTCAATTCTGCTGGTTTGTCTCATGTAGCCCCATTGCTGTCTGGTGAGACAGAGAAATGGAGAGAAATAATCGACGTAAGTATTCCATCTCTGTGATTACTGTGTTATGTTGAATCGCATTTTTCACACATATGTTCTAATAAAGATATATTTTCTGGCTAGGTAAATGTTATGGCATTGTGTATTTGTACCAGAGAGGCATTCAAACAAATGAGAGAACGCAATGTGGATGACGGACATATCATACATATAAACAGGTAAACGATATTTAAAAATGCACAAACTGGAATACACAGATTGTCACCACTATCACGGGTAGACAACATCACATGAATAAATTTGCACTCTTGGCAAGTGCATTGAGAGTAGTCTGGATTTTAAAATGTCCCATTCTCCTTGAGAAACCTCTGTCGAACCATACAACAAAATTTAACTGATGCTTGTTGAAGATTCCTAACTCGTATGTTTAATATGATGTGTTCTATTGTTGGTATAACATAGTAGAGTAATTTACCATATAACAGACGGGAGCAATAAAAATAATTTACTATACATATGTGTGTGTTTGTATTGCTGTCATTCGAATTATTCCACACGACATACTCAACACCCTTGCTTCAAATGGTCCGTCGTGATAATTCGTTATGCAATGACAGTGGGGCTTGTATAATTAAGGTTGAACATATTTTTATGTCTACTTTATTCTCAATAATGTTTTTAATTAAAGCACTTCTGGACACCGTGTTGCAATGGGAGACTATGACCTTAACCTTTATGTCGGTACAAAGCACATGGTGACCGGTTTAACTGAGGGATTACGTCAGGAGTTACGAGGTTTGAAGTCTCATATTAGAGTTACTGTAAGTTTCACAATTATGTGTTATATATAGTTCAATGCGTATATTAGAAAGATTATATTACGATACACTGGATTCAACATAGCTGTAATGCATAGTGTTTATCTTCCGCATCCACATCAAGGCTTCTAATTTATTGAGACCTGGATTTTGTGTTATGGGAAGTAACTCGAAGTATGTTTTAATTGATATTATGTGACTAACGTAAGTTGTGTTTCACCAACAGGCTATATCCCCAGGAAATGTAAACACCATGTTTGCTAACAGAATGTACGGAGACGAAATTGCCGAGAAGATGAAATCAGAATATAAGGTCATATACATTATAAAAAACATCTGTAACTAAACATAAAGCATGCAAGTTTAACCAATCCTACATACGTCCATGAACTTATTTAAAATGAAACCTTGACAGTATCAAAGTCTAAATTATAAGATAAAAGTAAATTGCCGTTTAGTTTGAGAGTTGTATGATTGCTCAGCAAGCGGATATATATCTGACAAAAGTAAACATACTAGACATATGCCATTCATAAACATTATCAGTTTATACAGACTATTTATGCACTAGATTATACTAATTAGGCAAAATGGTCATTTTGAAAATTACTCATGCTCAGTATATGACTAATTGTACTGTGTATATGGACAGGCCGAAATACATGACAATTTGCCTCACAAATTAAAACTCCATACATTGTAATTTATAGAAGATTTTATTAAACTGAGTTTAACTGAGTTAAACACATTCATTGATAGTTAGAATACGACTGAGAGGACGCTATCGGGGCTTTCAGCGCCGTAGCTGTGGGTACAAATTTTTCTTGTGTCACTCTTTAGTTTTTGTGATGGTATTTTAGTCATTTCTGATGTATTTTGTGTCATTTAATTTGTTTTGTAACAATCAACACAGAAGAGCTATGGTTCCTCCAATAGACTTGCATAGCGCACGCCAAATGACGTCGCAAATAAAAGTCGACAAACGTACACCATTTTCATATAGCACAGAAACCATCGCCTATAAAAAATATGTTTATTAAATACTAACTAGCGCGAAAACCGTGACAAAAATTATCCGTTTGAAGTTGTTTTCCACGAGATTTAGCTCGCTGAACCGTACGTAACTCAAGTGACAGCCATTTTCTTGAGGTCAAACGAGGAAAAAATTAGTAAAACGCCAGGTAATGGTCGTCTGTTTTTATTAGTATTTTGCTATTAACATGCATGGAGAGATATTTATTTGTACATTTCTCAAAAAAGAAAATAAAGAAGAAAATTGACAATATGCCTCTGAAGTAGACGACGACGAGTAGTTGTTTTACGGGAGTATCCAACACGTTTTCGGCAATACCTTCTTCTCGTACGACCTGAAGTAAATGGCTTTCACCGGAGCTACGTGTTGTTCAGAGCATTTATGGAGGGAAAAAGAAGTGAGAGTACAATAAATATATTATCGGTGTTAGCTTCGATGGTGTGTTGCGAGAAAATATTCTGCTTTTATCGACTTATATTTGCGATGCCATTTCGTGTCACACATTTGTGTTATGCAAGTCTATGAGAGAAACCGATAAAAACCGTCGATAAAAATCTTAATATCTAAATGGTTAATGAAACAAAATACACAAGAAATTACTAAAATACCATCACAATCACATAATACCGACACAAAAATAGCTATGGACCCACAGCTATCAGTGCCGAGGTTTCTTTAGATAGCGTTTCAGTTGGTGTTTGTCATATCCTACAAGTTTAAGTATTCAGGTTTAGCCAGGTTAATATTAAATTATGTTTTTTTTGTCAACAGCTGTTGGAATCTTCTGACATCGCTGACATGGTGAAATATGTATTACAGTCACCTCCCCATGTACAGGTACACGCTTTTGAATTCACATTTGGTTGAAGTCTCCAATTTCCATATGTGAAAAATGAAAAGTGTTTTAATCATGATGTGCACTATATCGACTTGTAAATGTTGTTTCAATTCACGTGAACCTAATAATACATTATATTATATTATATTATATTATATTATATTATATTATATTATATTATATTATATTATATTATATTATATTATATTATATTATACATAGTTCTGTTGAATCTAAATGAGACAAAAGTTTTACACCATAAGAATAAATACACCCGTTCTAATAACAATATTCTGTTTTCAGATACATGACCTGATAGTAAGACCGATCGAGCAAGAAACCTAATAACCTGTCTGACGTCATTCCCCACATCATGTGAAAACAATTATATTATGTATGAATGATTTCAAGAAAACACAGCTTTGATACTTTTAACAACTTATATATGTTATGTATTTTATAGCATGTGTTTGCAACATAAGGTTATACAGTATACGTACTTTAAAATGCAATATGAACGAGAAAATGTATTTTTTTGTTTAATACTGTATGTTGATGATGTGAATTATGATTTACCACGGTTCCCAAAAAGCTTTTGCACACATCTGAGATGCAACAATGACATTGTCGAATACGTATATGCTCCGTTTTTGGGGTACGTACAATAAGTACTTTCACATGCGTACTAGTGTTTTCGATTTTTCATTCGAAGAATAGTGTTGCGTGTTTGCGAAAGCAGCATTTTTAGTATATGATAAATCTTTATTCTCATCGATATTGCATTTTTATAGGTGGAATTCAAAGATAGAGAAGATTATACTTAGTTAAGGTTAGTCAAAGTTACGAAATTATATACAAACTGAGACAGACAACGTATTAATATTATAGGCCTGTCTATATTGAATACAGCTATTATATAATAGAGTGAATTGGCTTAGTTATTACTACGCTGGGCTGGATTGTATTTGCTGGTGGTAAAGCACACATGAACTAAATTTGTCACATGTCGAAATCCCACATTCATATGGGCTATTAATGTACGTCGGGCGCAGTGTATGGGTAAATATTATGTAATTATTATAATATTATTGTAGGTGATAGTAGAAAGTCATAGTCATCACAGATGAATATAAAATGCAAAGCAAATAAATGATAACCGCATCCTGCTTCACATGTGAACCCACGACTTATCATTTCTAATCGAATGTTTTTTGTTAGAAGTTTACATCAAATGATACAACAAGTGATATTGGTGCCATCTGGACAGTTTAATCTTATTCTAACCTCAAACACATTGTTTAAAACAAGGTTTTAATGTTAGGATTAGTCATTTTCTACAAACAAAAATGGATTAATATTTTTGACAAAAGAAGACAATGTCTTTCAAAACCACGTATATGATCTAGAAAAAAGTGGGAGGGTGTGGGGGAAATAGTGCTGGAAAAATAATATAATTATGTCTTTTGTCATTCAATTTGCCCAAGAGCCACACCATATATTATAGTCTAGGTATGAAGCAGAGGCAAGGGAACATGTAGGTTCGTCAGTTTAACTGGCTATACCTTTGAAATATATTTATTTATTATAAAATTGTTGATGCTCAACAAATCTTCAATGAATGTGAAATTGATAATGCATCTGTCCTTTTTAGTGACTTGTGAAAAACCCACTTGTTGGATACATACACGTAGCGATAATTTATTAATTTCATGTTTTTAAATAATAAACAACTTTATATATTCACATATTTTGCGTGTGTGGTTACCATGTTAGACAACTAACACTTAGATTGGACTGGTAGTTCAGATATTTAATTGCTATCTTCAAATTGGACTCTTGGACATTTGTGGAAAAATCCGTAATAAAATTACTAAACATTGAGCAATGTTACTGGACAAGATAAATAAGATTTTAACAAATGCAGCACATCATTGTAACAAACTATCATTGTATATTATTGGGCCTAAACAATCAAAATTGAAACATGTCACAGCTTCTAAAATGAC